AATGGTAATTAAAAGAAGGGAATGGATGAGTGTCATAACTGACTGGAATGCGAAACAGGGTAGGAGGAATGGCATGTACCTTATCTAGTACAAAACCCTTAGTTAAGATGAAGAGGTCAACAGAGAGGTTAAATGGTTAAGCTCATAACTAGATTATGGCAGAGACTATTACTAAGACCTATCATGTGCCAGCCGCTGCCACTATAGATATATTTCTAGGATTTTTCCCTTTCTCATCCTGTTGGCTTCAGTTTTTTGACCTTGTAGGATAGGAAGTGGGACATACAGCCCACAGGCCAACCACTTGATTTTGTAAATAAAGTCTTACTATAATACAGCCACACTCGTTCATTTATGTATTGACTGTGGCTGCTTTCACACTCTAATGCAGAATTATAAAGTTGCAACAGAAGTGTATAGTCTCCAGGCCTGAAATATTTACTATCTGACCCATGAAGAAAAGGTTTTCTGATTCCTGATACACAACACTAACATGCTTTCTGAAGTCTTAACACTGAAAGTGTCATAACCTTGGATATCCCTTTCTATGCCACCCCGTTCCTTGTTTTTCAGTTTATCTGTCTTGTGTTTCTTTTTGTAAAAATAAGCAGATATATGTATGCTTTCTTATTTTGCCTTTTTCTTACACAAAGGGTGGCATATTATGTGTGCTGTTTATATTTTACTTTCTTCATTTAACAATATTTTCTGGAAATCATTTCATAGAACTCTTATACATTCTTTATTGCAGCTGTAGAGGACTACATTGTGTATATGTGCTATGCTTTATTCAGCCAGTCTTCTATACTTGACCATCTAGGTAATTTCCAATATTTTGCAACTTAAAGTAGTGCAGTACCTTGTGCATGTGTATTTTTATATTACTGAAAATGTGTCTTCAGGGTAAATAACTGCAAGTGAGAATGCCGGGTCAAAGTCCAAGTGTGTGTGTGTGTGTGTGTGTGTGTGTGTGTGTGTGTGTGTGTATGTGTGTGTGTGTGTGTGTGTGTGATTTCCAAATTCCCATCCATTTTAGGAAAAGTAAGATTGTACCATTTTAGGAAAAATAAGGGTTGTACCATTTTGTATTCCCACCAGAAGTTTATGAATGTATCAGTTTTTCCACTAGGTCTGCTTGCTTTATTTTGCCAAGTGACAATATTAAAATATTCTTCTTATCATTATTGTCACCATTTCAAATAAAGAAAGGCTGTTCTAAAAAGGGAGAAAGAAAATAATCAAAATAAAGGAAAAAAACAGCTCTTAAAATTTAAAAATGAATAAATATAGCTCTTGTGGTGATTGTTTTCCTCATTTTGCTGAAGACATACGCATCTCTACCCCATACAGGGATCTTTTGGAAATGTAAATCTGATCAATCTTTCTTTCTACGTGAAATCCTTTAGGGCTTTCCACATCTACTTAGATCATCACATGGCCTATAAGTACTTGTTAGATCTTCGCCTTGCATGTCCAGCCACTTTGACTTTGTTTTAATCTTTTCATTACACCAGGTTCTCTCCCACAGGGCCTTGGCATGTATTATTTCCCTTTACACCACTAAAGAAATACACAAGTCAAAAAAATCAAATTCTTAACTCTGGTTCTACCTTAATTTGTCACGTGACCTTATGCAAGCTTCTTAGCCTTTTAGTCCTTCTGTTTCCTCAGTGTAAGATGAAGTAGTTTCATCAGATGACCTCCAGGCTCTTTCAGTTCTAAACTGTGAATGTACCAGAAGTTATTTCAATAGCAATGTTATGGAACTTAGCACATTTTCCCTGTGATAATTAACTATAACTTGACTGTATGTATATATAACACATACTTGTTTTTCATTCTTAATATTTATTAACCTTTAATTATTTTCAGAAATTACGTGATCTATAATTTAACCTGTATGAGTAAAGAAGTTTTTGAGTTTGAAAATAATTATGATTATTAGATTCATGAATTATCTACTTCTGGGGTCCTGTCTCTTGGATTCTGTTTTTGCCACTGATGTCAGCACTTTCATTACGTGATCTAAGAGATAATTTTGTACTCTTTTATGGAATATTAGAGTAAATTTTTTTGAGAGAGAAGTAGAGGGGAAAGCCTTGGTAAAGTTTGCCTATAGTTCTTTTCTTTCTTTTTCTATTGCTCCATATAATATTCTTTGTACTTATAAAATTGATTGTCAGAATTGGTAGTAGCACACATCGGGTAAGAAAGTTGAAGGAAGAAGTAAAATAGAAATCTGAAAATTAGTGATTTTAGGACAATGTATATTCTGATCTTTGGAAAAAGTTGCTAATTAAATAATATTGTTGTAAATCCTCTATGTTCTGTGTCCTTAAGTTTTTCCATTAGTTCTTTTAATTTGGAATTTATTTCCTAAAAGTCGTATTATAAATGGGTAATTTGGTTTCCAGGCTAGCACAAAAGAGCTTTTTAAAAACAGTTTATCTTAGGGTCTCCTTAAGATTCATGCACTAGTAGGCACTGTTTGTGAAACTGTCTATATAAAAATCTATTCTCAACTAAGAGCTCCACATCACATCTCCCTTATTTGTGACATTTGGGGTTCCATTGGTATGCTGGCACTAAACGTTTGGGTTTGGGGAGGTAGTAAAGATTCTGCTAATCAATAGTAACTTTAATATATTGACAAAAGACCAGGTACCTATTTAATCAGGAGTCCAAACTGGTAAGACCAAAAAGCAATTGCTTCAGACTCCTGCTAGCTATATAGCAGTCATAAATTAAGTGTTTCTCAGTTTCCCAGGAAATGCTGATGTTCCATTTCCTATTTATATTCCTCAACTGGCTAACTAATAATTTCATTAAATACCAGTGTCTGTAATTAAGATTGGGGAGATGGGTAAAATAGGTGAAGGAGATAAAGAAGTATAAACTTCCAACTGTAAGTAATTCATGGGATGAAAATATAATATAGGGAATATAGTAATATTATAATAAAAAGATTTATCTCTCAAATTTACTTTCAGTATTTTGATGTAGAATCTAAAGTCAAAATTCCTTGATAAAGTAGTGTCTTCATTTTCATTAAATTTTTTTGTGGATGTGTTATTTACAGTACATATGTTTCATACATACATATGTTTCATACTAGTTACAACTACTTACTTGGTTGGTGTTTTCTCAGGAAAGACCATTTCTAAGTTCAGAACCAGTCATTAGGATGCTGGAAAGCTGTTTTCCCATACCTCAAAAATGTTTTCATCTTTTTCTTTGAAGAGTTTTAATGTGGAAAAAAAATTAGCTAAATCATCTACTCTTTGATAAAACTGTTAAAATAATGGGCACAAATTTTTGGGAGGGAGAACTTGGTACGGTGACATTAAGATTAACAGAAAGTAAAAACCTCTGAGTTCTATTAATATATGTTTTCTGGGGGAAAACGGGCAAGAGAAGACCCTCAGAATATATAATTTGCCTTAAAGTGCAAGGCTAACAAAGGAAAATAACTTCAGTACTCTTTCTGTCCACATTACTCTTTCTGTCCACGTAGTTAAGGTTTACACAAGATTTGAAGTTCTGGATAGGGAAACTAATATTTGTTATCTGTTGTGTTACTTTGTAAAGAATCTTGTAACTTTATCTTCCTGGTGACAAAAAGGCAACAAAATTCCCACATGAGTGCAATAATGAAAATACTGATGACTATTTTGTTTGTATTTTTAAGTACTATACATCCTTTAAGATCTTGCTAAGGAAAATTCTGGGAAATTTCAGTTACAAACTCCATGCCCCTCCTCCACATCATTAAATTGTTAGTTGCTTTACAACTCAAAAATAATGCCAAGTGCTAAATGTATTTTCTGAGATATACCAAATAATGCTACTTGAGGGTAAGGGGAAGAAAAATTGTTTATAACATATATACTTCTCTTGGGTTATAAAGGAAATTTGCTTAATTTCTTCACTAGTTGTTTTTTAATGATTTATTTTGCTGTAGGATTGAAGGAAACCAGAGTTCCCTAAAGAAAACCTCACTCTTTTCTTTTTGAAAATAGGTTTACTTATCTAGCAAATGACTATGATTTGTTTGAAATTATTGCAGCCCAAACCCAAAGAACAGCAGAAATCAAATTTAAATCTTGAGTATTTATCCAAAGTTGTATTCAGGACTTGAAAGATAATGGTAAAAATCAGATAGCTTGAATGCTGAATTTATGTCCTTTTTCTCCAATAAAAAGCATTCTTTTTAAGTTAATGGAGACCTGCTTGAATTTAAAAAAAAAAGTATGTTGGCAAATGAAAAAGTTTTAGTGTAGTTGGTACTTCATATCTAAATTATAGCAGAAAGTGATACCTTTTTTATGTTTATTAAAATAAAAATGTAATTGTACTTAGTTATTTGGCCCTGTAGTTTTGCTGCTTTTTATGTAAAGAACTATATGTCCTTACTTCATAAATTGTTTTGACATACAATAATATTTTGCCTACTTGAAATAATAATTCAGCTATTCAATATTTGCCTTTAAATGGTCAAAAGAGGGAGAGGAAGTAATATGCAGATAGCTAAATTATTAGATTCTAAGTGCCAGCTACTGTATTTCACTATCTCACTGTCTATGGTGTCTCTCTCACTAAAATGTTTACAATGTTACTTATCATGACATAAATGTACTTTAAAATTATACCTCTACAAATACTTAATTTTGAAATGTGCTTAGCTAAACATTTTGTTAAGTTTTCACCCTCTCAATTTTTGTGGCATATATCATTTTGAAATTGGGTATTGTGATATCCAGAAAACAGATTAAAATAGTGATTTTTAAAGCATACTATAGTATAGAATTAGATAGCATATGCTTTTTAAGAATTGCCTAAAGACAAAATACTATATATTGTCTACTCTAGATGCTCAGAGACTAAATTTATAGCTGTATTTTCAAAAAATACTCCAAAAACACATACTGATTATTTCAAATTACTCTCCTTTCTCATTTATGTTATGGTTTAAGAAACATGATCAGTAGTTTCAGTTCAAATTGAAATAGAAATTAGATATATGTGGAATAAAAATATTAAATATTAAGTGAAACTCGGTATTTGTAGACCATTTAGTATAAAATTACCAAGAAACTCAAACACAGTATACATTGTTATCACATGATGTAAACAGTCCCTTTTAGATTTTGAATAACTCTTTTAGGGAATTTTTTTTTATTGAAGAGGAAGGTACAAATCAAAATGTCTCCGAAAAATAAAAAGGAATGTACACACGAATAGAATACATCTTAATTCTTAACACTTTTTTTGTGCTAATAACTTGAAAATGTCCACATTATTTATTTTCTTTTGGAGGTGGAGAAACAGTTGTCCAAGAAAACATGTTTCACAGTTGAAAGAACTTGAAGGTTCTGTCCAGTGAAGTCCCAGTGGTTTTATTTCAGGCAGCTTATATTGTAGATTCATTGTCAAATATCTTACTTTTTAAGGTCTGTAGGTTATGTTGAATAAAGTTCTCAGTGCCTTGATCAGAAAATCTGGAGTCACTTCTCCTAGCAGACCAGTTTTTCATTTTTATTGAATTCTGAATTGTGTCTGACGTGAAGTAGTAAACTATAGGGTCAAAGCAACAGTTTGAAACAGCAATGCAGAGAGTGATTGGGTACATTGTCCTTACTGCCGTTGCTGCTGAGCAATTAACAAATGTCTGTGTTCTCATAAGAGAATATAAAATAAGGTTGATATTGTAAGGCACAAAACAGAAACAGAATATAACCAAATGTACAAAAATCATTCTTAAAACTTTAGTTTTGTTTACTTTGCTTCTACTTAATGTGACAGGTTTATTTAGAGTTCTTAGCACCATGCTAGAACAAGTTACATTTAAAATTAGAGGAATAAAAAATCCCACTATCTCAATGAAAATTACAATCCTTGAGAGATATGTTTTCCATGTGGCTTCTGGAAATTTTTCAAAGCAGGCTTCTGAGGTATTGTTACCCTGAGAGTGGGTAGACTGAAAAAAAACTGCTGGTGCACTTCCTCCGATCACAGTTAACCACACAGCAATGCAAACAATTTTTGCATTTCGTTTGGTTCTTAGAGTCTTGGATTTAAATGGGTAGACGATTGCCAGAAATCGATCTACACTAATACAGGTTAAGAACAGAATGCTTCCGTACATGTTGGTATAAAACAGCATAACAGAAATTTTACAAAGTAAATCTCCAAATGGCCAATTCTGTGTTGCAAAGTAAAAAATCCTGAAGGGTAAAGTAAAAACGAAAAGCAAGTCTGACATTGCCAAGTTAATCATGTAAGTTGTAGTTTCGTTTCGCACTTTGAGGGTGCAAATAAAAATGTATATGGCAACACAGTTGGCTATTAACCCAAGCACAAACACCATACTAAACATGCACCCGTACAAAGTGTACTTAAAGGAGTCATCATAAATGCAGCTGTTATTGCTTACCATTATAAAGGCACGTCTAGTTTACAGTGTTGAAGTCCTTTAGTCAGCTGCAGTCCGCTTTGGTATTCAGACTGTGACCAGTTTATAACCTCCAAAGTATATGCAAATTCCTTGGGTCTTTGGGTGATTTTATAAATATTTCCTTTTTCTCTGAAATCTCAAAAAGAAACATGAAATTTGCTGTATAGTTTCCACTTGGTTCTTCAACCGGAAAATAGCCTTATTTTCTAGTCTTCACACAATCCAGGGCTTCGTTAACAGATGAGCAACTTTTAAAAAATGTAGTCAGTGAAGCCACCCCATTGGATTATAAACTTAAAGAAAACTTGTGTTCTGCGAGTTTCTTTACTCTTCTTGTAAACTTGTATTTCAGTAGTCAAGGTGAATATTTCAAAATTAAAGTTTCTTTATGCTCCAGAATGTTTAAGCTGAAGTCACTAACTTTATTTTGCTTTTCAAGACAGAGTTTCAGACTCAAACATTCCCAGTTTGGTCTCATTTACTTCTTTCTCCTTTTAAATGAAGTTTTCCTGTCTGGTATTCCTGCAGTGAATTCCAGATGGTGGTGAGCAGAAGAGTCTTTTAAAAGTTCCAAAATAAATTCCTAAGCGTGTTAGTTCTTGCTCTATTTGAGTTCTTTTTCTCCGTTGCCAACTGTATTGTGAGATGGGCTTTCTCTGAAGTGACAAAGAAAGGCCTGCTAGATTTGTAATATGACATCACAGGAAGAAGAGGCAGGGCTTGGACAAAGAAAGGTTTCGGCCCAGTTTGTTTGCAGTTCCTTTAATCTGATAATGTGTCTGCTGGGAATATACCTAGGAAGCTTGCAAATGGTCACTGAGTGTTTTGCTGAGCTGGCTGCCCATTAACTCTTTTTATGCGGAAATGCCTTCTGGGATGTTCATCTTTCCTTTCTTTTCTTAATGGTAAGAGTTTTCTTTCCTTTCCTTTCTTAATGGTAGCTGTAATTGAGAGAGAGAGAAATTAGCATGTCTCCTATTTGATTTTTGTGTTTAGGATATTACTTTTTTTAAAATATATATGAATTGGAATTGTTAGTGATATTTTAATGTAGCATTAAAAAATGTTTAATGACTGAAAAAGAGAAATTTATAAAAAAGGATTTAACTGAGAGACCAAGAGTAGTTTTGCCACTTTTTGCTTCTGTTTTCCATAATAGCTCCTCAAGATTTAATTTAATTTATTTAGTATGATTGTGAATGACTTCAATCTTGGATCTCATTAACTTTTAATAATTTTCTAAATTCCTTTCTCTTTCTATAAAATTGAACTAATATTTTAGAGCACTTTCAATATTTAAATTACCACTATTTCTCTTGAAATACCTGGAAATCTCTGAAATATTTTGAAAGGCTTTCTGTATGGAAAGATCAGAAGGAATCTAGACTGTTAGCTCCTAATGCATATTCCTTGTGAATAAAGTAAAGTTGCATATGTACACAACAAAATGTAAATATATAATTTTTTAATTTTAAATAGCTAAGTGTGAAAGTTTTGTGTAAAGAGCATAGATAAGAGAATCAGAGAAGCTTGATATGTAATCACTTGACCTTTCTAAGATTCTGATTTATTGGCTGTAAAATGAGGGAGTTGGATTGCTCAAAGGGCCCTTCCTTGTTTCTACATTGATTCTGATTTTTTGTCTACTTTGAATGTTTAAGCTGCTAGATTTTTTTTTTCACTCTTAGGTATAACAAATCAAGGAGTCAACTTTTCATTCTTTATGTTTAAGGATTTCTAATGAAAATAGGTGGTATAATAAATATGTACAAGAAATATTCTTTGTGTAAGCCTTGTCTCATAATACAGGAAGAATTCTGTTAATATTTTCTTTCACTGTAAAGATTTAACATTAAAAAAGCCTTTCCTTTATATTTCTACATAGCATTTCTTCTTTAAAAGATCTTTCCTTTCCAAAGCACAAATAAGATGCCATGTTCTCTTATTATAAAATTGATCAAAGATGAACTGATCAAAACTTTAAAGATTTCTCTTATTAACAGTCTCAGTGGTTATAATTGGAGATGTACCTAAAACATGGAGGGTATGAAATATGTGGAAAAATTGAATGAGAGATTATGTGAAACCTAAACTGAAATAAATTTGTTCAAAAGAAAGTGGCAAAAAAAATTTTTAATGTAAGAAAATATTCAAAACTTATTTTATTCATTTTAAATGGAGCAAATGTTTGCCATGATGAGATATCAAGGTTATTTTCCATCTCAAATTTACACCTAGGAAAACCTAAAGGTTTCTCATTTTGGATGCTTGTGAAAACAAATTTTCTCTTTAGATTTAGAAATGAACAAAACTTTTTCAATTTGAGAAATGAATATTTTTAATTTATGTTGATAGATTATATTTATTTTATTTAAAAAGATCTTTTGGCCTAAAAGGAAAATTCATTACATTCTGGACAAATTTGATATTACAATAAGTATATTGATTATCATTTGAAAGTGATTTGCCTTTCTGCCATTATTGTAAACACCTAACACTTTTTGTTAGATTTTACTGGAGTCATCTACCCAAGTTCAAAGGATTGAGTCAGTTTCTAAGGTCGGGTGAAAATAGAAGAAGAAAGATATAAAGGGTGTTGAATGGTGATTTATAACAAAGTAAAAGTGGATAGAAATAATGGTTGAAGCAAGTTCAAGCAAAGAGGGTAAAGGAAATTAAGAGGAGTAGGAATGTTGTGGTGTAAGACATAAAACTGGAGTAAACATTTATCACTGCCCAAACTGGAGTTGCCCCTTCTTCCTTTATTCCTATCCCTGCTGCCCCCCAACCAAGACCTCCAACCCCCCCCCACCACCTGCTCCTGCATTTCTGCCTTTTAAAATCCTATCACATTTTTCTTTGGAGACCTCTCAATCTCATCAATTCCTTTTCTGCACTTCCATAGTCCTTAGTGTGCCCTCTTTTAATCATGAGATTAATAGAATCATGCAACTCAATTAAGATTGGAAAACAAAGAAATACTTGCTACATAAGATATGACAGAATGGAGATGAGAGTCAACCAAGTCAGTTAAAGGACTCTAAATGAGATGCTGTCTAAAGAAGGCTAGGCTTTAAAGCAATGAAAAGTTTCAGATTATAAGACTAGAAGGCTAGAACTATGCCTGGTAATAATGTCTTAATATATTACCATTAGTATAGTCATGTTCTCTTTCTCAACCAAAACCACAGAAAATGATTTGAATAACTATATTCCCAATTCTTACAAGGATTCTACATAATTAGTTCTACTCTAAATTCCTAAAAGTTAATTCATTATATGCAACATACGTTGTGGGGCATAGAACTTTAATCACAAAATCCAGTTAAGGAAGGCTAAATGGTTTATAGTTTTCAAAATATTTCACCTAATTTGGAAGCAGCAAGATGTAGTGAAAAAAGTCAGTCTAGGTATTAAGTGACCTAGATTTTAATCCCAGCTGTGGTACTAAAAACTAATGTGACATTGAGCAAGTAACTTAACTTCTCTGTTAGATATTCGGAGGAGTAATGAACTGTATCTCTTGAATCGTTTTCAGACCTTATGTTTCTAATTTAATCTTCACACTAATTTTGAATGATAAAAAGAGCAAAGATTATTGTCTCCATTTTACAGATCAAGAACTAAAATTCAGAGAAGTTATGATTTGTCTAAGATTCAGAGTGATTAAGTGATAGAGAATAATGAAGTCAGACTAGAAACCAGATCCTAACTACTAAGTACCCAGCCTAATTCCTTGTACATGTTTGTCAAAGAGTACAATTCAGTGAGTGCACAGAGAACTGGAACTAAAATCTTAGTTTCCTGATGGACAGTCAAGTTTTCCCACTGTAACAGGTAGCTCCCAATCTTTTTTTTTCGTTGTTGATATAGAATAGGAACCTCGGTTCATAGCTTAGTGACTGTTAATTAAAGAACTGTTTTTATATGTGTAAGCTATATAGACTTTTTTTCTGAAATGCTAAATTCTAAAATTATTACATAAATTTAGCTTAATTTCTTAGAGTTCTCTGTTCTTCTGTAGATTAAAATCATAGTGCAACCATGCTTCATTTTTAGCTTCATCTTTATTAAGCAAATGGTTGGAATTGGAAAAAGTGCTATCTATACCAAGTATTAAACAGAAGAAGGAAATATTTCTGCTTCTTTCAAATAATTAAAAGAAGGGTTTTCTGTGAATAGTAAATTTAACATTTTTCCAGCAGTGTTTATTATCACAAATCCAGGTACTCTGCAGTTTATTTCAATAATCATTTGTTGACTTTCTTTTACCCATTACTAAGGGGTGGAGATATAGAAGGATTGCTTTGTCAGGATGCTCCGGAAGGCTAAATGCTTGTGGCTAGAAAGCTACTCTTTGATACACCTGAGTTCTTTTGTTCCCAACAATGAAATTGTATGCATATTAAAATTAAGTGTGTTTGTTCCCAATACATACTTGCTGGTTATATGTGTTAATATAATGTTTTGAAATGCAAGGGCAAAAAAGTTGTTTTTAGGAAAACCAACTTCGGTGCTTTAGAGTGCCTCTGAAGCAAGTTGCTGACAATATATTATTGAGTTAGGTGTGTATATACTTCTGTAAAAAATGTCATAAGAAAATGAGAGGATTGATTCTCTGGTTTTCTGGTTTTCAGACTGCCTTGCAGGTGTCTTTATGTCCTCACTCTACTACACATAGTGAAAATCACAGACACACATTCTTGGTATGGTTTATAGAAAAAAACAAGTTAGAATTCTACTCAAAGAAGAGCCTTGAAAGAGATTTTTAATGAATATACATTATATGTTTTCAATTCAACTGAAATGCTTTAGAATATATATATATATATATACACATAAAATTTTTTTGGTATCATTAATCTACAATAACATGAGGAACATTATGTTTACTAGACTCCCCCCATCACCAGGTCACCCCCACATACCCTGATACAGTCACTGTCCATCAGCATAGTAAGATGCTGTAGAATCACTACTTGTCTTCTCTGTGTTGCACATCCCTCCCTATGCCCCCCTCCACATTATACATGCTAATCATAAGGCCCCTTTTCTTTTTCCCTGCTCTTATCCCACCCTTCCCACCCATCCTCCCCAGTCCCTTTCCCTTTGGTAACTGTTAGTCCATTCTTGGGTTCTGTGAGTCTGCTGCTGTTTTGTTCCTTCAGTTTTTCTTTTGTTCTTATACTTCACATATGAGTGAAATCATTTGGTACTTGTCTTGCTCCACCTGGCTTATTTCACTGAACATAATACCTTCTAGCTCAAATGGTAGGATTTGTTTTCTTCTTATGGCTGAATAATATTCCATTGTGTATATGTACCACATCTTCTTTATCCATTCATCTACTGATGAACACTTAGGTTGCTTCCATTTCTTGGCTATTATAAATAGTACTGCAATAAACATAGGGATGCATCTGTCTTTTTCAAACTGGGCTGCTGCATTCTTAGGGTAAATTCCTATAAGTGGAATTCCTGGGTCAAATGGCATTTCTTTTTTTAGTTTTTGAGGAACCTCCATACTGCTTTCCACAATGGTTGAACTAATTTACATTCCCACCAGCAGTGTAGGAGGGTTCCGCTTTCTCCACAACCTCACCAACATTTGTTGTTGTTTGTCTTTTGGATGGTAGCCATTCTTACTGGTGTGAGGTGATATCTCATTGTGGTTTTAATTTACATTTCTCTGATGACTAG